AAAAAATTATAATATGAGTCTTGGCACTAAATTTGAAAATATTATAACAACAATTTACGACATGCAACAGGCCAATATATTAATAAATGGAGAACAAACAGGTCCAATAAATATAGAAAAAGGTGTTAGACAGGGCTGCCCTCTCTCACCTCTTCTCTTCATATTCGCCCTAGAAACACTTCTAACACGCATTAGGCAAAATTCCGAAATTAAAGGATTGAGGATCAAATCAGAAGAATATAAATTACAAGCATTTGCTGATGACATGGTCTTCTTTTTGGAGGAACCTATAGAGAAAGGATACAACCTAATAGAAGAATTAGAACGATTTGGTGCAGTTGCAGGACTAAAAATTAATAGAAAAAAGACAAAATTAATGACCAAAAACTTAACAGAAAATCAGAAGAAAGAATTAGAGGTAACGATGGGGATACAGGTAACCAAAAGAGTCAAATACCTAGGAATATGGTTAACACCACAAGGTAAATCACTTAAAGACAATAATTATGATAAATTACTCCAACAAGTAAAGAAAGATTTAGAAACCTGGAGCAAGTTGCAGCTTTCTTTATTGGGCAGGATTGCTTCGATTAAAATGAACATACTACCAAAATTTCTATACCTATTTCAGACAATCCCAATCAAATTATGTAAAAAATTCTTTGAAGAACTAAATAAGATAACACTCAAATTTATTTGGCAGGGAAAGAAAGCTAGGATTAATGTAAAGGCATTACAAGATTTGAAGAGTAGAGGGGGACTAGCTCTTCCAAATTGGGAATCATATTACACGGCAGCCACCTTACTATGGCTAAAAGACTGGGTGAACCTACTTAATAAAAGAACTCTATTATTAGAAGGGCACGATCTCCAGAGAGGGTGGTACACCTTTTTATGGGAAGTGGGGAAATCTAAGCAGTCATACTTTCATAGACATCTTATTAGGGACTCACTATTAACTAATTGGAAAAAAGTACGCAAAAAACACTATCTAAAAATACTGATTAGGCAATGGTACACCCTAATAACCTGGACATAACAAAAATGATTAAATACAAAGATTTATTAGACCCACAAGGAAAACTGAAAACACGACAAGAACTACAAGAGCGAGGATTTAAAATTGATCAGTGGTTATATATTCAAATCCACAGTAGATATAAACAAGACATCAAAGATTTTGGAATTTATAATAAACCGCAGTACTTAGACAAAATTTTATTAGGACCAAATAAAAAGAATATATCTAAATTTTACAAATACTTACTGGAAGTAGAACTAGAACAAGAGATAGTCAAAGGAAATATGATAGGTTGGAGCAGGAATGTGGGACGAAGTATTACACTACCAGAATGGGGAAGGATTTGGAATAGAAATATTAAGATCACAAAATCGGCAGCTTATAAAGAAAATACATACAAAATGTTCTACAGATGGCACCTACCCCCTTCGAGGCTGGCGAAAATGCACCCCCACACGAGTCCAAAATGCTGGAAATGCAAAAGCATAGATGGAACCTTTTTCCACATGTGGTGGTCATGCAAGGAATCCCAGAAATACTGGCAAAAAATTAGAAAATGGTTGGAGGAGATAACCAAAGAACAAATTGAATACAAACCAGAGTCCTTCCTATTAGGGATTTTTGACAAACAATTATCAAAAAAGACGAAGTATATAACAATTCACATTCTAACTGCAGCCAGGTTAGCGTTCGCTCAGTGCTGGAAATTACCTTACACTCCCACAGAACAGATGGTTATTCAGAAAATATTAGAGTGCGCAGAAATGGATAAATTAACTCTAGCCTTAAAAAACAAAGAGTCCTCAATATATTACAATAACTGGAATTCCTGGTATGACTGGTTAATTCAAAGATAGACCGTTTATAAGAGAAACCTAGTTGAGGGTAATTTAAGTATAGATACCGATAAGATGTGCGTATATGATACAACTTAAGAAGAATAGATCTTACAGACTGTCAAAAAGGATATTGTTTTTTTTAAATGTTTCTTTTTCATTTCTTTTTCTTTTTTCTTCCCTTTTTCTTTCTTTTTACACCTCTCTCTTTCTTTCTCTTCTTGGCCTTTGTCAAGGCCTTGTTTTTTGTGTATGTGTTGTAGATCTGTTTTTAATTGTAAAATCAATAAAAAAAATTTTTTTTAAAAAAGAAAATATATAAACCAGGATAGACATTTTAATACTGTTACTTTAAGGGAATGCTAAAATTGTAATTGGGTGTGGTTCCTCAAATGGCCATAAGATGGAGCCACAAACCTGGGTTGTTCTGTTCTGTTGTTTCCGAGAGTGTTGCCGTTCCTGCATTTCCCTATTGAGTTTTACTGATCATCGTTATTCTTGGATTTGATGTGAGTCTTTTACTGAACTATTTATGATACTGGACTTTGTTTTTGGATTATCCCTGAACTGAAAACTGACTGCTTTAACCGTGAATGACTTGGACTGTTCGTTGAACTTTGCTTAACCATTTTACTGGAAGTAAAACCTACATTTTACTATACAGTGTATCTGTGTGCTGGTTGTGTGTTATTCTTCACCACTCTTACTACGTCTCCCTGTATGCACTCATTCTCCTAATGGGGAATTACCTCAACAGTTCTCTTTTCAAGTTCTGGATAACTTTTGCTTCCCAATGCCTGTCTGGTCCCTTATCAAAATCTGCCAACCAGTCCCCAATTTTATTCTATTCCTCCAGTTGGAGAACTTCTTAAGTCACTTTCAGACGGAATTGTCCTGAAAACACCAGATGAATTCATGCAACAATTACAGTCAACAAGTAAACCAATGTTGTGCACAGGAAATACAATCAGAACTGAGGTACAGGTAGTCCTCGGTTAACAACTGCTCCATTTAGTGACCATTCAAACTTAATGACCATGCTGAAACAGTAGCTGTATGACCAGTCCTTGAACTTAAGATTGTTGCAGCACCCTTATGTCATGTGACCAAAATTCAGGCGCTTCACATTTGTGATGGTCACGGCATCCTGTGGTTACATCATCACCATTTGCCACCCTCATAGCTGTCTCATGACAAACCAAGTCATTGCGGAAGTCAGGCAGGAAGCCGCAAGTGGTGGTCGCACGATGTGAAAGGATTCACTTAACCACTGCAGCAGGACTGATGTTGTAAATTGGGCAGGGTCGCTTGATGTTTTCCCTTCAGGATTGAATTGTCTTGGTGATGGAGTTGCTCGCCCCAATTAGCAGTCGTTAAGTGAGAATGACTTGTACCGAACATAGCAAATAAACCTAAATACGTCCTGTACAACTTTCTTTGTTTTTTCTAGGTCAGGATTATAGATTTCCTTTCAGTGACTCTGCATCAGGGCAGAAAGAAGCGGTAGCTGTGTTTCCCCCCCCCCCCACCCTTGTGATCTGATAAATCTGCCAGGAGCAACGTTTCATTGTACTTTTGCTTGGGAGTCCTGGCAGAGTTAGCCACCCAGCTCAGTTGCCCCATCAGCAAAATGGGGAGAGATCAGTATCTAGAGGGCAGAAACAACTATTTCCCTTTATTAATCCCCCTTACAACAGTCTCAGGGGATGGGAGTTTTTTTCCGGAAAGTGTGCTTTTCCTTGTTATGTTGTTTTGAATGCCCTGGGCTTCAGCACTTCAGTCGGTTACAAGCAGTTTGTGGTCTATTTCGTAGCAGGATACTTCTCAACATGCGCGCACACGCATGCACACACTTTAACTGAACCAGTGCTTACCATCCTCCATAGACCACTTTCATGGCAGCCTTTTCTATTATACACATTATAATGAACACCAGCAGTAACGGTTGCTGTAAGGGTTAGGGTTTCCCAAACTGTGATATGTGCCTCCCCTCTGGAAGGAGGTTTCAAAGTATTTCTAGCAGGACTTCCAGATTCTGTAATGGCTTTGTTCCCTATTGCCATCAGTCTGGTAAACTCACAAGATTTGTTTCTCTCGCCATGTACAAGTATACATCCGAACTAGACTGGGTCGTTTCTCTGTGTCGTATAATTTATGTGGGTATATGAATAATTTTGTATGTATGTATGTATTTGGTTTCATTTATTTTGTCATGGTTATGTAGTGTAGGTTATGTATTGGAGGTGTGACCCTTAAAGAGTTGTATGCAATGAAATTTCATTTTAATGTATGCTGATTAGTGTACATTTAAAGTGACATTAAAGTTACCTATTCTATTCTATTCTATTCTATTCTATTCTATTCTATTCTATTCTATTCTATTCTATTCTATTCTATTCCCTTTCCTTCCCTTCCCTTCCCTACCCTACCCTACCCTACCCTTCCCTTCTCTTCCATTCCATTCCAGACATGCAGTAAAATATATAGTACACTGGAGAATCCTCTGTTTAGAGACATTGGCCAGTAGGATTTGTTTGACATGTTTTGACCTGAGGCAAAACCATAAACTTCAAAACTCTAGTGCAAGTCCTAATACTGCACTGTGGGTTCGTTCAACTCTTGAAGTTGTTAGACAGTTGTAAAAAAAGCATTCATTTAAGATTTAAGATTCATTTAGATACTTTCAATACTAATTAGTGATTCTCTGGTTTTAGTGTCATCTGTAAAAGGAAAGAGTCAGTGGCAAATGGTGACAATATATATATATATATTTAAATTTCATACAGTGCACGGATAGGCACTGAATCTGCTAATCTCTGTCCTTTAATTGAAGTTGTTCAATGTTCAACTTTCCTTGAAGATTTGTTAGTATACAGCAATGTACAAATCAGATTAAATATTATTGTTCTTTTTTTCTTGTTCTCCTTTCACAAAACATTAACTTTTTACAAATGAAAATGGAATAGGAAATCTTTGCACTGTGCTGAATGCAAATGGATTTCAGTTTTATCTACTTCCAATTGATTGCTTTAAAGAGTGACCTCTTACAGCTTTGGAATCTACAGAAATAATAATCATTAGCTTCCTAAGTACCTTTTGCAAATTCTGAAGCAGGATTTTCTTTTTGCTGTTGTTATAATCAGGATAATTTCCATGGAAGAATTGAATTTCTCAACTGCAAGTTCACGTATCCATCTCGTTCTGATACTCAAGTGCTAAATGGCCTCTCTGTCTCTGTGAAATCTGGGCAGACCCTTGCATTCGTTGGCAGCAGTGGATGTGGGAAAAGCACCTGTGTTCAACTTCTGGAAAGGTTTTATGATCCTGATGAAGGAAAAGTGGTAAATAGCCTTTGTTGCTTTGATGGCATAAAAGTACTAATGACTGGATCTGCAATTCAGTCTTCATACATCAGCTGTATGTTCTATGACCTAGACCAGTATTTTTCTACCTTAGCAACTTTAAGACATGTGGACTTCAATGAAATATTGAGCTATAATATGTGATGTGGGGGGGGGGGAATAATTTTGAAAAATAGGGCTCTCATAAAAGCATGTGATTTAATTGAAAAGTAATGAGTTAAATATCTAAGATATGAATGAATATCAATATTAATGAATAAATTTGTATTATTTTTGATAATATAGTATAATTTTAGAATGTACCAGACAGAATACCAATGTAGGTTATGTATTTTATATTAAGTACTATAAATATAGAGGAAAAAGACAAAGGCATCATACTCCATATAGTGTACAGGAGAAGTACTTCTTCTTTTTTTTTTAAAGAAGAAAAATAAATGATTGGCTGGAATAGAACAGACAAAGAATAATAAATATTACGATATGAATTGAGAGGAGATAAAAAAATAAAAATGAAATAAAATTGAGAAAATTTAAAGGAGAGGAGAAGTTATATAGAAAATTGAAAATGTTAAGAAGATATGAAATGGTATGTAAAATGAATATGAAATTGAACTTGTGTCTGTACCAAGAGTTTTAACCCGGGACTAAGCAACTTTCAGAAAAGAGATTTTTTATACTTTTATGTTTTGTGTTTATGTGTATTTATGTATTGTTTGTCTTGAAAAATAAAACTTGTTTAAAAAAAAAAAAGACATGTGGACTTCAGCTCCCAGAATTCCCCAGCCAGCTTGGGAATTCTGGAAGTTGTAGTCCACATATCTTAAACATTGCCAAGGTTGAGAAACACCGCTTTTCAGATTTAACATCCCCCTTTTTAAAAAAAGGCCTCTTTGAAATCCTTGTAAAATCCTTTTAATTCAATTTTTCATCAATTTCTCAGTGCAGTTTCTTTTGCAGTAATAAAGATGTGCAAATAAATTTATAGATAAATAAATACATTATCCGTTTCATATAGATGCCCGTTTCATTTTTAGTGAGTCTGGGCAGTTTACAGTAAAACAAATAAAATACATAAAATACACAGTATTAAAAAAGCAAATAAAAATAAAACATGTAGTAACCAGGTATAAAAATAAGTGAAGAAATGAGTATTATGTATGTTCACTCCATTATAATGTTACTTATCTATATATATATAAAAGCGAAATACCACTCACGCATCATCACAAAATCTCCAGAACCGTAAAGCCTACAAACCTGAAATTTGGCATGTATGTTCCTCTTGGTTTCTAGAAAGGATTTTTCGAAATGGCCATCGGAGCATTGGTATTTTGCATATTATTATTAACATGCTCTGATGCTAAGGAGTTCTACTCCCCCTCTCCACCTGAAAAGAAATACAGTATATTCCAAATGCAAAACACAAGCAGAGGAGAGGAGTTTCAGTTTCACAGCAGCAAGCAGCTTTAATACAGAACAGTTGAGCTAAGCCACTCCCAGACTCCTTGCTGTCTCCTTTTTGCTCACACAGCAAATACTGTTTCAGTTTCCAAACAACTCTCTCACACACTGACAGGACTCCTGCTAGCCAGGTGAATACTGATAGATGCTGGTAAGCAGAGGCAAAATCCCCCCTCCCTTATTTTCCACCCCCAAAACTAAGCCCGACCACATAGTTTCGTAGCGAAGCATGGGTATTGCACTAGTAAAATAATAAAGGTGTGATAAAAATCAAATCAACCAAAAAACAGAACCAATCACCCACACAACCAAGAAATCTATGTCACTCCCAGGGCCCCAGACTCGGGCACAAAGCCACATTTTCAAGGCCTTACAAAAAAACAGTAGGGATAAAACTAATCTAATCTATTTCTTTCTGGATCCTGCCCGCCAACTCTCCCTAGCTCATGGTACCCAGAGCATGCCTCTCACGCCACATTGGGTGGAAACAGTTGGGGAGAGATGGTCTTATAAGTAACCAGTCCTTTTGGGTTTGTTTGTTTTTTGCTTTGATTTTTAAAAACTTCTCATTGTACAATCCTGATATTTCCCGATGACTTTCCATCCTAAGTACTAAGTAGATCTAATCTAGTTTAACTCTTTGAAGTTAGACAAGATCAGGCAGGCTGGCCAAGGGTTGGTGTGGGAAGATGGATCGTATCAGAGGTGGTATTCAGCAGGTTCTGACCATTTCTGGAGATTTCCAGTAGCGGAAATTTTGAGTAGTTCAGAGAACCAGCAAATACCACCTCTGACTGGAGATTTTACAGTATCCTTCCCCTACCATGCCCACTGATAGTAAAATAATTGAATCCCACCACTAGACCTCATAGAATTGATTTCACATGTCAATATTTTGTTGCAGAGGGCCAATGCTAAAACATGTGTCATGGGTATCAGTGGTGGGATTCAAATTTTTTTACGAACGGTTCTGTGGGTGTGGCTTGGTGGGCGTGGCAGAGGAAGGATACTGCAAAATCCCCATTCCCTCCCCACCTTCTAACCTGCTTTCCAGCTCCATTCTCCTGTGCAGCTGGGACTCGGGAGGCAGAGAAGAGATGGGGACGGGGCCAGTCAGAGGGGGTATTTGCCGGTTCTCCGAACTACTCAAAATTTCCGCTACTGGTTCTCCAGAACTGGTCAGAACCTGCTGAATACCACCTCTGGTGTGTATGCATGCATGCTTCGGCCATGTCACTCATCATATCGTTCTGATAAAAGCCCTGAGATTCTGCAGAACTCTTAGCTTGCAAATGTATTCTTTTTAACTGATGAACAACCATGCAATTCTCCACCCAGATTGTGGTGCTCAAATTGCACATGTGTCAGCAAATACAAGCCAAGGTTTGAAAAAGAAATCTTAGTTTTATTTATTTATTTTATTTTATTTATTTATTTATTTGATTTGCCAATTGTTTAACAAAGACATTTTGTATGTGGTTTTGTGTTTTTGATGTACAGCTGATAGACGGCCGCGACACTCGGCAAGTAAACATCCACTTTCTTAGATCTAAAATAGGGATAGTTTCTCAAGAACCAGTGCTGTTTGACTGTAGCATTGTCGACAACATTAAATACGGGGATAACAGTAGAGAAATATCTATGGATGAAGTGATAACCGCTGCCAAGAAAGCCCAATTGCATGAATTTGTGATGTCACTCCCTCAAGTGAGTACTATTTTTAAAATGTTCTATGTTATAGAACAGGGGTCTCCAAACTTGGCAACTTTAAGGCTTGTGGATTTCAACTCATGGAGTTGAAGTTCACAAGCCTCAAAGTTGCCAAGTTTGGGGACCCCTGTTATAGAAAGAAGAACTGGCCTAAACGTTTTCTTCACTGTTGATTTAACATATTCTCCATATTTCTGCCTCACAATAATGTTTTGAGTCAATATTTCTGCCTCACAATAATGTTTTGGCTTTCATTCCTTCTATTGTGAATTGTTTGGCTTTCTCACCTATAGATCTATATTTATGATAACCTAATTCAGGAATCCCCAACCCCCTGGTCTATGGACCGGTACTGGGCTGAGGCATGTCAGAAACCGGGCCACACAACCAAGCGAAGCCCCATCTGCGGGATACAAGCAGCAGATGAAACCACGCCTCCTCCGGTCCGCTGAAATACCTCTCTCCACGGAACTGGTCCCTGGTGCCCAAAAAGATTGGGGACCGCTGGCCTAATTTACTGTCCCAGTTAGGTTTGCTCACTTCTTTAGAATCCAGGAATCCCCTTGAAAATATCTGCATGGTCTCTTGCTTGTTTCCTAATTGACCCATCACTGGAAAGATGACTAAAAAAGAAAAACCCAGCCGCCGAATCACACGTTCCAAAAATGGCTTCTCAGAACTATGAAAGAGTTGTTACATTCCAACCGCACGCCTTAATCATCAAGTCTTTTGAAGTGTGTTCATGAAGAGTGGGAAGCCACACTCTTCACTTAATCTCTCATGGGGTTGTCATGAGGATAAGATAGGAACCGAAATCCTGTCTCCTGCCTGTTGTGATTGGTAGGATAAAAATGTCTTGTTTATAAAACAAAGGAAGGAACGCTTTAGATGACCAGAGACTACAGCTATGTGCCTTTCTAATAGTTTCCCATTGAAGTATTAATCAGGACAAACTCTGCTTAGCTTTTGTCCTCAGTCAAAGCCAAGTTGTGAACTGCACAGTCTATCCTCCAGCCCTGGGGTCACTTGGTGGTCTCCCATCCAAGCAGTAACCAGACCTGATTTGCTTCACCGTTTCCAAGATCAGCTAGCTGCTGTCACTTGCTGTGACTATAGAATCTCTGTGACTGTAGAATCTTTCGGACAACTTTTACCCTGGTTAAACTAAAGCTCATTCTATCTAATAATATAAGTCCATTCATTTTCTTTAAAAAAAACAACACTTGGTAACTTTCCAAGGCTTACCTATAAAGCATTCCAATAAAAATACTCAGTTTCAATACAAAAATTAACGCACACTTAATGGTAATGATAACACAACAACACAACAACACAAATAATAACTTTTTCCAGCTTGCTTCTTAATTGAAGGTTCTTCCGCCCATAAAATAAAAGAATGTGAGAATAAAAGCGATGAAGTAGCTTCATTTTCTCACCACTCTAATTGTATTTTTGTTCTTGGGGTAAACAAAGTCAGTGAGCCAATAAATATTGTGGTTTTTTTTTGTTTTTGCAGGAATATGAAACCAATGTTGGGGCTCAGGGGTCTCTACTGTCTCGAGGGCAAAAGCAGCGCATTGCCATCGCAAGAGCCATCGTTCGAGACCCTAAGATCTTATTACTGGATGAAGCAACTTCCGCACTGGATACAGAAAGTGAACAGGTAAACAGCAATGGATCTAGAGCCGTGGTGGCGCAGTGGTTAGAATGCAGTACTGCAGGCTACTTCTGCTGACTGCCGGCAGTTTGGCAGTTTGATCCTGATGGAGCTCAAGTTTGACTCAGCTTTCCATCCTTCCAAGGTTGGTAAAATGAGGATGCAGATTGTTGGGGGCAATAGGCTGACTCTGTAAACCTCTTAGAGAGGGCTGTAAAGCACTATAAAGCGGTATATAAGTCTAAGATATTAATATTGATAAAGAAATGCTGAATATCAAGAACCAAAAACATTTCCCTTTTATTATTTTATTCATTTATATATTAGTTTTTTTTAAAATCCCACCTTTATAAGTAACTCAAACTGGAGAACATATATAGTCTACTCCTTCCTCCTCTGGGAGGCAGGCGGGCTGAGAAGGACTGGCCCAATATCTGGCTTTCATGCCTAAGGTGGGATTAGAACTCACGGCCTCACGGTTTCTAGGTCAGCACTTCTATTCACTACTATACCAAACGGGCTCTAAAATAATTTTATGCTTTCAGGTATCAGATAATTAAGAGAAAATATATTCCATGGAGCATTGAGAATATATATTAATTCAATCCCTTGCTGTTGAGTTCAAAAGCAACTTAGTCTCAAATAAGTGGAGATAAAATCTCAGTCTGAAAAGGAGGAAAGGGAAGGATGTCCTCACTTCATTGTTATTTGGAGGCTATTTTGGGGTATGAAAATTAAAAAGGGCTGTAAATTGTAACTGAATCTGAATGCACATGCACAATAGGTAAAGTATAGTACAATACACTCATTGTACAGAGTCACAGCTGGGAAGGTACTGTACTGGAAGCAATTCAAAAAGGCACACTTACCAACCTGGCCCACTGCTGTTACAGATAGCGTTGAATCCAAGAAACTCCCCCAAACTGCAAACTTAGGCTGCATTCATACGACGCATTGAATAGCCCAATCACTTTAGCCACCATATACCTAGCTCACGTAATTAGCGCGTAGTGAGAATTCACTGTATGGAACCAACACAGCAGCATGTAGGTGGCTTCTTCTAAATCCATCAGAGCCAGCTTCGCCCTGGCTGGATGAAGATCTTATTGATGGATTTGCCATTGGAATATATTGGAGTTTGTTGCGTCCCTGCCAGGTTGCTCCGTCTTAGCCATATTTTGATCCACCTGGTGATGCTTAAGTATTGCTGTTACCAATATTCCACAATTGATGGCCTCTGAATGCCTTTTGGTCCACCAAGAAGCTAAGGGGAATGTTGAGATCCAGGGAAGATTTGAGAAATGATAGGACAGCAGATGACTGCTCTGTGTCCTTTTTTTCCCAACTTTTCTGGACTGCTGAGAGAATGACATCTCTGAGGAACAGAGTTTATTGATACCTGTCCCTGGCAACACTGGAAGTGGAAGCAGATTTGCCATGCTTGCAAGTTACTGTATAACCCCACAGAGCCCAAATACAGTGGAACCTCGGGTCGCGACCATAATCCATTCCAGGACTATGATCACAACCCGATTTGGTCATGACTGAAAGCGCAACCGACTGCAAATGGGCGGAATGTGCATGCGCGGAAGGGGAAATCGCTGCGGCAAGGGAATCTGCTGCTGCTGGGTTGGTTCGCCACTGTGACCCAATTCAAAAATTGGGTGAATTTTTGGGTTGGAACCCGATTTGGTTCGTGACCCAAGGTTCCACTGTAGGTACCTTCCACATGACCCATGGAAACTGGAGTTGTGGACAGTAGGACTTCTTCTCTCCTCCTCCTCTTCTAATTCACTGAATATTTGAGGAGGGTTTTCAACACAACTAAATTGAGTTGATCAATGCCTTTCCCAAAACAAAGTGACCTAGAGAGGCCAAATTGGCTGTGTTTGTGTGAATGTAACCTGTCATGATGACCATGTAAAGACTCCTTCTCTTTCTCTTTTCCTCTTCTCCCTTCAGACTGTGCAGGCTGCCCTGGACAAAGCTCGAGAAGGCAGGACCTGCATTGTCATTGCACACCGCTTGTCCACCATTCAGAATTCGGACATCATCGCTGTCATGTCTCAGGGAGTCATCATTGAGAAGGGCACTCATGAAGAACTGATGGCCCAGGAAAGGGCATACTATAAACTGGTCAGCACGGGGGCACCCATTAGCTGAGCTTCTGCAGTCCCTGTGTGGGTTGTGTTCATTTTCTTAAGGCAGTGGCCCCCAACCTTTTTTGTACCACGGACCGGTACCGGCATCACAAAATGATCCACGGACCGGTACCAGCATCAGCACGCATGACCAAGGCAAGGCGAGCCGAGTGACCGGCCAGCCAGCCGTCCCCTGCTTCTCCCCGCCACCTTCAACTCCTCCTTTGTACCTTCTCGCGGTCGATGGGCTTTTCGGGCTCTTTCTTAATCTCCTCCTGAGTAACGCGAGACTCCACCGCCATCGGGACGGCTCTTCGTTCGAAGCCGCCCCCCCTTCGACGAAACTAAGGCGCGAGGATTCCTTCAGCACCCAAACGCCGCTTTCCAACCGACGACTGACAAGCTCACCCAGAAGCACTTTCTCAAGCGCCGTCGAAACAAGATGGCGGCGCCCAAGCAAAATAGACGGCCCGGTACAAAATGATCCACGGACCGGTACCGGTCCGGGGCCTGGTGGTTGGGGACCACTGTTCTTAAGGGACGTGCTAAAACCATTACGAACATATCAACCAGCAAAAGATGACTGTGCTGTGATATAGAACGATGCACCTATGTTGGCAAAACCACTTTGAGAAAATGAAGCCCTGGAGGCCAGCTTTTGACTGAGCTGTTCCCTCAAACCACTGCAACTGTTGGGAAGAAAATGGCAGCCATCTCCTGGAGAAGTGAGATTATACAGGAAGAGGGCTCAGGGACCTTTTCAATAATGAAGTGTCCATAGTTTTTTTTTTTATACCTAATTTCCATTGCTTCTGAATTTGCAATATGAAAAAAAACCTAATGAACTTCATTGTGGATCCAGAGGGAGGCTCTGTTCAGCATTCAATGCAAATGGTGGCATTGAGCTGTATTTCCTACTACTCCATCATCATCATCATCACCTCACTCTCAATGATTCTGGGTGGTTCACAACAATCAAAGAAATGACAATGAAATCAATAAAAATGACAAAAATTAAGATAAAAGACGGCAAGAGCGATGAAGTAGGTATGTCTCTCTCCCTTACCAAAGACCTGGGTGAAGACCCTGGTCCTCCCAGCTTTTAAACAAGAGTAAAGTAGGGGGGGACATCTACATCTTGGGGGACCCTCGCTCCAGAGGGCCAGTGGTGCAACAGGGAAGGACATCTTCACCATTATGATGGGGAAATATCAGGCACAGATTCTTACATCCATAAAAGGGCAATATTGAAACCTGACTCTGCATATCTCTAGAGACTCTCTTAGGTATATAATGTCTTCTGTGTGTAATGGTTCTCTGCATAGTGTTAAAAGCACTCTGGCCAGATTAAAAAATTACAATTATTCTATTCATTGCCAGCGAGACAATTAGCCATTGCAATTTCCCAAAGGGTCGTCATTTCTTTTGCAGGAAAAAAAAACCCGAGCTCTTTACAAAACAATACATTTATTAATGTATATGACCGTCCACTAACCTAGAACCTACAGTAAATAGATTGAATGCATCTCGCTCACAGATGAGTGTCTCATTAAAGGACATTTGATAGAGAAAGCCTGATCTCTGTGTATAGGACAGAACAATAGCAGGAAAAGAATAAAAACTCAGAGAATTAAACAGCAATGCAGCCCAGCCACATTTAATGTGCACAGAGAAATACAGCGGGAGATTAAATCATGCTTGAGAAATAGTGTAAGCAGGTGGTAAAGACTGTTATTAAATCAAGCAGTTGTACTTTATTGAATCCCTTTATCCAAAGCAGCTGAATCTACTTTGTCAGTGGATTCCTAAGGGGCCCTTCGCAGTCTTGCTGTCTAATATCCTTCAACAGGAGATCCTTATGAACCAGTCCAGAAGCATTTACACACAAGAACCTGCATTCTACTGCTGGAGCTCATTCTGTAGTGGATGAAGCTTCTTTGTCAAAGTCCCCTTATCTCAAAAGGGGATAAGACAATTCACCATGGCCAACTTGCCAAGTGGCCAACTCGCTGTGGGACAATTTAACAATTTAATTATTTAAAATAATTTAAAAACTTTAGTTTTTGTCATTCCCATTTCATTTTGTCCCTCCTTTTCCAACCCGTTCTTTAATGATTCGGTTCCACTGTTCCTTCAATATTAGTGTAAATCTTGTTCCCTGGCCAGTTGTTCTGCAGCGAGCTGGCCGTGGTGAGTTGTCCTGTGGCAAATTGGCCACAGTGATTTGGCTGCAGCAAATTGTCCTAAACCCATCACAAAGCCGTGCTCCATGCTAAAGCCTGTACCCGTGTAGAGCCATAAACCAGAGGAAAACTGGCTTGTTTCTGTCAGTGCTGCAGAAACTGGAGTCTTGTGAATAAAGGGGATTGAAAGGACTGATAAAGGCAAATACCCCTTGGAGGGGAAGGTGGCTTGTTCATAGAGTATCTAAAACAATAAAACAAGCAGCAGGTCGAGTTGTGAAAATGTAACACTCAGGAGCTGTATTATGAGGACAGAGAAGCAAAGACACTGCCAAGATCAAGATTGGACCATCAAGTTACGCTGATGCTTTTCAGTTGACCATTTATCTAACTGGCTCCATAAATACTAATTTCAGTTTTTATTTAAGCAGTTACAGTTCCTACCTTTTTATCTTTGTCCAGCTATGAGCCTTTTAGCACCAAATGCTGTTGTTTTGTGTTTTGATTCTTCCATGTAGAGCTGCCATATAGATATTTTTGTCCCCATCTCTTCCTCTTTCTCCTTTTGCTATATGATCAAACGACTAGATCTTATAGCAAAATGTCAGACAGTGCTTATCAAATTGTTTGATGGAACTTTATTTCCCTGGTAGCCAGTGTATAAAGTGTATAGATTTGTTTGATGTGTGTTTTCATGTTAGTGTTAATTGCTGGCATCTGCCTGGACAAGTCTCTGCAGTTTTCTTGGCAAGGTTTCAGAAGTTGTTTGTCATTGCCTCCTTCCTAGGGTAGAGAGAGAGAGAGAGAGAGACTGGCTCAAGATCACCCAGATGGTTTCATGTCTAAGGCAGGACTGGAACTCATGGTCTCCCAGTTTGTGGCCTGGTGTCTTACACCAAACTAGCTCCCCTATAAAGGTACATTGCCTCTGAATCTAGTGGTTCAGTTTACTATCAAATCTAATACCTGTTGCTTTTATCATAACAATTCCTTTGTTAAAGCCAAATGACCATAAGCCAAATGACCATATCTTGGGTTCTATAAATTAATGATGAAACCAAGTTGTTTGATTGACTCTTTTGCAAAGTGGTGCAAAATATGGTGAAAGTTATTTTCTTCAGATCATTAATAACTTTATCAGCTCATTATCCACTTATGAGCCTTTCGGCATATGGGTGAGTAATTCAACATTTTATCATTTTGATTCTCTTATTCTGCCTTCTGTGTATGCTGTTGTTTTCCAGAAATAGCTGGACCATCAAGTTATATTAACCCTTGATGATAAGGCCTACTTTTCCTGGATAGCCACACCCTACTCAACGATGAGGGATATTCTGCTATAATCTGCATCACGGTATTCCGGGGCACATTCCTTTATTGCTCATTCATTTCCTTTGGAGCTGTTCATGGTCCCGTTGATTTGGACCATTCTGAATAATTTTTGTGCCATTTCTATTCATGACCACCTCATTGCTCTAGAGCAGGGGTGTCAAACTCACCACGTCACGTTGGCATCATGTGTTGTTTCGTGACATTTTTCCCATTCGCAGAGCTGTGGTGGACGTGGCCTAAGCGTGATGAATCCGGCCCGCGGGTTGCAAGTTTGACACCCCTGCTCTAGAGCAGCATTTTTCAACCTTGGCAACTTTTAAGTTGTGTGAATTTGTTTGTGTTTTGGTGACTAAGGCCATTCCTTAGGCAGAGCAAAACCAAGTTTCTCCAGTTTCCCCCCCACAAAGTTTCTGAAGGCTACTGTGATGATCCAGGATGGGATACAAAATAAACACAGTCACAAAAACAGGTGAAGCCCCTTTTATTCCTTTACTTTGCTTCAAAGCTCCAAATATCTTTGACTGGAGACAAAAAACTCCCCCACAAGCAGTTATGAAAAGGAGGAAATGCCGTTTAAACTAAAAATTCCTATAAATTATAAAGAGTAAAAACAACACAAGCCACACTGAAGCAATTAAGGGAACCAGGCAAGATAAGGGCTTGAAGATGTCCACAGATATTGGAACACACACCGGGAAGCATGCCAAACTCAGAAAGGAATGACAGACTAGAGATATTTCCACACTTTGTTTCCAGCACTGGCCCATACGCATGTCCGTCCTCTTATCCAGTTTTCACAGCTGCAGCCCATGAAGAGGATCAAGGCCCTCTCCTCCCCAGTAGATCACGTCTCTCCCTTATCCTCTCCTCCCTGCGTGCCCTAGGATATAGAGGGGATGGGCCTGGGTCCTCCTCTGACTGCCCAGCTGGCCTCTGCCCTTCTCCAGCCTCCTCCACAACCTCTGGAGCCACACATCCACTCCCTGTCAGCTGTTCCTCCTCTCCCTCGGAGTCAGTCTCCAACAGGGGCATGACAGCTACCTCAAATCTAAGCAAGGCAATGGTCCTGACCTTGAGTGGGCCTTACACCTTAAAAGCTCAGACAATTGAACACATTTGATAGTCTAGAGGGGGACAAATCACAGTAGAAGCTTCGCTGGATGCTGCCTTAAGTGAAAGGGTTTGAAACAAACATCAATTATAGGGATTGTCATCAACTGGAACATCTCCTTATGTACCCCTTTAAATATTACTTGGCGATTCCCAAATCTTAATACCTGCGGGAACACTTTTCCACCTCACTGGGAAACATTTGTGTAGCCAAAAAAAGAGGGAAGATTAAATTAAAAACTAGAATCCCCTTGGGTGGCTATTAGCCATTAATGGGGTGAAAAATAATTGGGATTGCAACGTACACGATTCAACCGTAGTTCCTAAATCCTTTACTCCAAGCTAGAACTCTCCATGCATTGCAAATTAGGTTCACAAGGTGACATTCTGCCAATTGTAGAGTGGGTTGTTTCCTCCTTTGCTTCAAGCAGCAAAATAGCAGGGCCTGGTTTTGTCTCTCATACATTGAAGGGTCTGCATCCCCTA